CTATTTGGATAACCAAGAGAGTTCGAACTGTTTTTCCAGACACAAAGTGTGCACGTCTCTTGTACTTTGTCTCTCTTAATCTCTTTCTCACTGTCTCTTCATCTTTTTCTCACAAACATTCCAAAAGGAGGTTTTAGAGAGATAGAATGAAGGTATCAGACATTGCTCGAATCTTCAAATGCTTTTCCTGCCTCTGTGATAGACTTCAGATTAGCCCCGGCCTCACTGCATAAACAGCCATATTTCGCTGTTAATGATTATCAATACACAATGAATTCCCTGACCAATTAAATGGCAAGTAGTCAAACATGACAGAAGAAGTAAATGTATAATTTTTTTGCATGCATTTGGCAGATCTAAACTAACCTATGTTGTGCTGGATTTGAGATCCTGTTTCTGGCTATGTGTTGTATCATTGTGTTGGTTACGTTTTTCGGTCATTGTTTTCAAGCTTCTGGGTTACTGCTGTTTCCCAGCAACAACTGTGCTATCCCAGCTCTAGGGTTGTGTGGGTACAGTTTCATATAGCCTACTCCTTATAATGCTTTTCCCAGAATGACATCTGTTACATGAAGGAACGTGTATTTTTGACAAATACCTGCTCTGTTTATGAGGTTGCCCACGTCTGTACCCAATCAGTCAAATATACATGCCTGTTCTATAGAGGTGGGATGCCCAGGGAGAACAGGAGGATTTGCAAGAATACTTTTTAATTTGTTTAATTTAATAGAAACTACAGTATTGCGATTGAATCGATAAATAATGTAATATGGGGCTGTTAATGTAATATTTATTACTTAGTAGATTAAATGTTATTAATTTGATTGCACCCTGACCCATACATAGGGTACAATGGGGCAATCCATAGTGCATGATTGCAGAAAAAAATATATACAGTATTTGTATTGCATGTACATTTATGGAGCAATGGGGGGTATGGTACAACCGTTTGATTGACGCACTCACTGTCCAATGATTCTAGGTGGTCTTGGAAATGATTGGCTGGAGTTTTTCGAGTCCTGCCCGTTCCACAGATGATTAAATTGCTTCATTTTCATTTCAGTGCTTCTAACTCAGTGGCTGTAAGTGGGTTAGGAAAAGGATTTCAAGTGATTTTGAAAAAATGGTCAAAAAAGAAAATCACATACCCCACCTTTTAATACCTGTTCAAAACAATCAGTTTAGCAAAGTTTGTACTATTTTCTGTTTATTTTGATAAATAAAATAATTAATTTTTGCACAATAAATACACTGTTATTAAAACATGTTAATATAAAAATAAATTTAAAAAAAAATAAATTTAAAAAGTAAAGATTAAACTAAAAGAATTGAAGGAGATCCCATAATAATTTAATATAGATGTACATTAGTAACAATACATTATATTCTATTATATGATATGATTAATATCATATTTTTAAATATGATGGTCTCTCTCATTATAAATATGATGATTATCTCAAAGGTGGACACCTAATTTAATATATAATATTTCCCATCTGAATCTAACCATGTCATGTCAACAACTGGAAAAGTCGGCCATCTGTTTATTATCATTTTAATTATTGTGCCTTTGCCCCAACAGCAGGGGCGCCTTTTACCCAAAGTACCATACTTTTACAATAAAATGTTGCTATAATTACCTTGAACAAAACTGAAAATCATTAAGAAGACCTTTGTCTCATAATGTATTCAAAAATTGTAGTGATTCTCATTTGCTACTTAACATTTGCAAAAAAACATCAAATGTTAGATCAAATTAGTGCAGAAATCAACTTTGCACGGCTGTCCCCGATCGCATCAAGGATCAGCCAAATTTCCATGTGCATCTTGAAAAATTTATGTTTTGGAAAGTGCTATGGCAAGTTTTTGTGCCATCTAGTGGTTTAGAGGAAAATAAATAACCTATTCTTTAATAATACATTTTCTCTGCCATTAGAGCGATTCAATCTCAAAGCACCACTTTTATCTTCATTTGAGGGCTTTTCTCAATAAATATTGAACATTCTTATTATTTCTTATTTTTATTATAATGATTGATTTGATGAATTATTAAGTATAGCATATAATTAATTTGATACAAATTTTTATTAATTGATTGCATTAGTATGTATCAAATAAGATAGGCTACTGTATATACATACAGTATTTATCGTTCCATTTAGATAAAAAATTGCATAACTGCAGTAGTCCATCTTTACCCATATAAATATCTAGTAGTTTTTCCACATAGAAATGGATGCATAGCCATGCTCTTCAGGTTTGTTAGAGAAGGACTCTTGAGGGCTTTTAACACTTGAAATAGGCTGGTCAATCTAAACCCCGGGTAAACTGAATCCTGGGTTATCTTGCTTCACGTTTCACACTGCTCATAATTTACCCGGGTTTAACAATTAATCCTGGGTATTCATAAACTGACATAAGCTCTGGAGCAGGGTTTCATAATCCCGGGTAAAAAGCGGTGCTAACCCCGCTTCTAAATTACAAGTGTGACACGTTCCTTTACCCGGGGTTAAAAGCGGTGTGAAAAGCCCTTTGGGGTCCTGCTGTGAAAGCTGCCTCTCAGAATGTAAAGATGAGAGTAATGTGATGTGTTGTCTGAGGATTTGTTGTTTAGGATTTGTGTAACGGTTCTGTTCTGTATAGTTATGGTTTACTGTCATTTGTGTTCTGTTTTCCCTTTTCTAATTTGCCTGTGTTCCCTGTAGTTTCCATAGCTCCTAATTAATTATTCACTTGTTTCTGTTCAGTTCATTAGCTCTCCCTTGTATTTAAGTCCTCAGTTTCCTTTGTTCAGTTTTTTTTTTGTCATATTTGCTTTATCTCCTGTCCTGAGTTGTGTTTCTGTTGGATTTATTAAAGTAACAACAGGTAACTTTTCAGCCTTCATAATATATTTCCAAGTCTCTTGTGATGGTACATCGACGTACAATAGGTTGAATGACACGTCTGCCATAGCCTGACGGGGTCTGTAGCGTTTTTAATCGTACTTTTAAACTTCGGGTTTCGGGTAGTAACCGGCGAACAAAGAGAACTACAAAATTCGACTGCTTTACGGCATATACGTCACTTCCACCACCACCCCCACTTCCTTAAAATCGGACTTGCGAGCCAAATGTTATAGTCATGGCCGAAGCAGCACAGAAAAACAAGAAAGCAAAGGTTTTATCGGAGCAAAGCAAAAAGAGAAAAAGAGAAAGTGATCGCGTTAAAGGCAGAACGAGGATCAACATTGCAGAGCTGCCAACTCTCACGCATTGGCCGTGAGACACCCGCATTTAATTGGTTTCACACGCTCACACGCCACACCCCCGGTTTCTCACGCTAAATTGTCAACCCGGTCGGTCAAATGCCTGAAAGATGAGTTTATCTATAGATCTCTACCTGTTGAGCCACTCGTGATCGACAAGTTATACCGCAAATTAGTTCAAATCTCCCGGAATCTAGAGCGAGCGCGCACGCGAGACAGAGACTGTGCTCCAACGCGCGCGGACGGCAGAGAGAGAAAGCGAGCGAGAGACCTTGCGTGTGCAGGGAGCATCGAACCCCCCATCGATAAAAGAATGCCTCTCTCTAACCTCTCTAATTCGCTAGAGTAGTGGCGAATTATCAATCTGGTAGCTAGTAAACGATATTCTAGTTTTTGATGGTTAGCTATCGCTAGTATTCTCGTTCTGATTTGAACTTTGCAATCGATGAAATGCAAATAGCAAATGTTTGACCTAAAAAGTGTAAGTTAGCCTACTCAACATGTACAAAGAAAGGAGGGAGATTATTAATAAAATCATATTTTAGGATACCTAACATGTCTGTGATATTTGTTTATTTGTCTTGCCTCAAGCTATAATGCAAATCGATTTGTAAAATTTGCAGATTCATTTATGGTAGCTTGATATTATAATATTGACGATATATGGTTATTATCAACCACTCAAACATTGCATTGAAGTATCATATAGATTCAGTAAAACGGTAACCAATAGACTAGGCTACTATAATGACGCTGGCTTGTAAACGCGATCATTTGTCGTTATAAAAAAAAATAAAACACATGAAATTATATTCATATGACATGCTGAAATATATGCCACTGTACCTGGGATGAAGACATTTCACACACGCGGGAACACCTGCATGTGACTCCTACAGTGTTCAGGGCTATCATGGTTGTCAACAAATGCACGTGCATGTAGGATGACAGTTTACGACAGTAGTAGAGGACAATACTGTTTCCCAACTGTAGGGGGAGCCCGAGAGCAAAAAACAACCTGTTGTTACTTTAAAAGACTGTGTACTGCTCTCAATCTTCTGTGTCATGTGGTTACTACAGCCACACACTTTACAGAAAACGAAACCGAGAACATAAAATGGACTTACCGGCTGTCCAGCTGCATTGTTAAGAGTACAACTCTAGGACCACAAGATACTTTTTAGTATGTCACTTTAGAAAAACTAAAATGACATTTTTTAATGTCATGTTCCATAATATTTGCATTGTTTTATTTTTGTTCTGTGGATTTTTTTTGCCCAGTTTTGTTTTGAGGAGGCACTGCCCCCTTTGCTTCTTGCCTCCCTTGCTTCTGATAGTTGGTCAGTTAAAGGGGTCCTATTATGATTTCCCCCTCAATGTTCTTTAGTGTGTAATGTTCTTGTTTGAACATGAAAAATGTCAGCAAAGGTACATAAAGTAACTAGTACACAATCCACTCCAAAAAGTACCCTCGTTTGTTAGTAGTGTTGTCACCGTGTCCAAGAGACACTGATTTTCCACCCCTGCACATGTCATGCTTGCAAAGGTGGTTCCCCTTTAAGTAGCAAATAAAAAACTATCAAATGAGACTGTAAAAAGTATTAATATTGCGCATTCTAGAAGGAAACCGGCTGAATCACACGAAGCAGTCACTATATTGATCATGTTTGCCTGACAAATCTGTTGTATTTTACTTTAGCCTTTAATTCAATAATTTGTTAATTGTGTTCTCTCCTATTTCCCCCTACAGTTACAGAGAAAGAGGTTCAGCAATGGTAAGTTTATCTATGTACTTTTCTATGTCTGTCTATCTTTCTATGTGTCTGTCTGTCTATCTTTCGTCCATCCTTCGTTCATCCTTTGTTCATCCTAGACATATAGTTGTATAGTTCCTCTCCTCTCCTCTCCATCCTTCGTTCATCCTTTGTTCATCCTACACATATAGTTGTATAGCTCCTCTCCTCTCCTCTCCTCTCCTCTCCTCTCCTCTCCTCTCCTCTCCTCTCCTCTCCTCTCCTCTCCTCTCCCCTCCCCTCCCCTCCCTCTATTGTCTTTTTTGGCACATTGGGTACATCATGCTTTTATATCTCCGTCTGCTTTGGCCATCACAGCATCATTTTGTATTTCCTCTCATCATTTGGTAGTTGTGCTTCCCAGGGGAAAAATCTCAGTGTCTACCCTTTGAAAAACACATTTGACAGTAACGTTACAGTCCGTCCTTCCATTAATTTGCCCAAATGTCAGCGAGCAGGAGTGTGTAGTTTGGCACACCTCACTTAACGTCAGTCTGTCACAGAGTCCAAGTGCTGGCAACTTTGCTGGCATGCCCAAGGTCAGTCCAGCCCTGGCACTGTGTGTCCCTGGGTGTTTGCCAGGCTAAATTGTTGACTCATTTCTGCTGCTGCTGCTGGTAGACTTAAAACCAGTGAGGAAGGACGTGGATGTGAGGCTGCAGTGGGACGTGAGTTTAGGTGCTTTTGAATTTCCTGACTGTAAGATCTCACTCCTCCTATCAGAGTTCTGTACCGTTGCCTTTTCAGTACCCATCATTCCTTTAAGGATCCTTCCTGAGGATGAATGATGTCATTTAAAGTAACACAGAATTGAAGGTGCAAAAAGATGCTTTTATTTTCATGGTTTTAGCCACAGTAGTTGTTTGATGCACAAATGTCAGAAGTGTGTTTATATGTAGATGTAAAAACCTATAAGTATTACCATGCATACTATACACTCACCTAAAGGATTATTAGGAACACCTTTTCAATTTCTCATTAATGCAATTATCTAATCAACCAATCACATGGCAGTTGCTTCAATGCATTTAGGGGTGTGGTCCTGGTCAAGACAATCTCCTGAACTCCAAACTGAATGTCAGAATGGGAAAGAAAGGTGAATTAAGCAATTTTGAGCGTGGCATGGTTGTTGGTGCCAGACGGGCCGGTCTGAGTATTTCACAATCTGCTCAGTTGCTGGGATTTTCACGCACAACCATGTCTAGGGTTTACAAAGAATGATGTGAAAAGGGAAAAACATCCAGTATGCGGCAGTCCTGTGGGCGAAAATGCCTTGTTGATGCTAGAGGTCAGAGGAGAATGGGCCGACTGATTCAAGCTGATAGAAGAACAACTTTGACTGAAATAACCACTCGTTACAACCGAGGTATGCAGCAAAGCATTTGTGAAGCCACAACACGCACAACCTTGAGGCGGATGGGCTACAACACCAGAAGACCCCACCGGGTACCACTCATCTCCACTACAAATAGGAAAAAGAGGCTACAATTTGCAAGAGCTCACCAAAATTGGACAGTTGAAGACTGGAAAAATGTTGCCTGGTCTGATGAGTCTCGATTTCTGTTGAGACATTCGGATGGTAGAGTCAGAATTTGGCGTAAACAGAATGAGAACATGGATCCATCATGCCTTGTTACCACTGTGCAGGCTGGTGGTGGTGGTGTAATGGTGTGGGTAATGTTTTCTTGGCACACTTTAGGCCCCTTAGTGCCAATTGGGCATCGTTTAAATGCCACGGCCTACCTGAGCATTGTTTCTGACCATGTCCATCCCTTTATGGCCACCATGTACCCATCCTCTGATGGCTACTTCCAGCAGGATAATGCACCATGTCACAAAGCTCGAATCATTTCAAATTGGTTTCTTGAGCATGACAATGAGTTCACTGTACTAAAATGGCCCCCACAGTCACCAGATCTCAACCCAATAGAGCATCTTTGGGATGTGGTGGAACGGGAGCTTCGTGCCCTGGATGTGCATCCCACAAATCTCCATCAACTGCAAGATGCTATTCTATCAATATGGGCCAACATTTCTAAAGAATGCTTTCAGCACCTTGTTGAATCAATGCCACGTATAATTAAGGCAGTTCTGAAGGCAAAAGGGGGTCAAACACAGTATTAGTATGGTGTTCCTAATAATCCTTTAGATACACAAGTCTTTTGTGTTCACCAAGTCTGCATTTATTTGATCAAAATATAGTAAAACTGTAATACTGTGAAATATTATTAGTTTAAAATAAATAATTACAGTTTTCTGTATTAATCTATTTTCAAATGTAATTTATAAACTTTTATTATTATCAATATTGCATTATCATTATGCAGTTGTGCTGATTCATATTTTTGTAGAAACCATGATACATTTCTGTGATACAAGTCTTTGATGAATAGAAAGTTCAAAAGAAAAGCATTTGTTTGAAATATTAATCTATTATAAATGTCTTTACTTTCACTTTTGATCAATTTAATGTATCCTTGCTGAATAAAAGTTTTAGTTTCTTTCAGAAAAAAAGTACTGACCCCCAAACTTTTAAACAGTATATACAGTCATGTGAAAAAGAAAGTACACCCTCTTAGAACTCTGTGGTTTTACTTTTCAGGACATAATAAAAATCATCTGGTCCTTGGCAGGTCTTTTAACACGAGTCATATTACTCACAATGTGTTATTATTTATTTAACAAAAATAAAGCCAAAATGGAGAATCCATGTGTAAAAAAAAATCTAACTGCACCCAATGATTCAATAGCTTGTAGAACCACCTTTAGAAGCAATAACTTGAAGTAATCATTTTCTGTATGGCTTTATCAGTCTCTCACATCGTTGTGGAGGAATTTTGTCCCGCTCTTCTTTACAACGCTGCTTCAGTTCATTGAGGTTTGCGGGTATTTGTTTATGCACGGCTCTCTTAAGGTCCCGCCACAGCATTTCAATTGGGTTGAGGTCTGGACTTTGACTGGGCCATTGCAACACCTTGATTCTTTTCTTTTTCAGCTGATCTGTTGTAGATTTTTTGGTGTGCATGGGATCATTGTTTTGTTGTTTGACCCAATTTTGTCCAAGCTTTAGCTGTTGGACAGATGGCCTCACATTTGACTCTAGAATACTTTATGGTTGACTCAATGACTGCAGTGCCCAGGTCCTGTGGCTGAAAAACAATCCCAAATCATCATGCTCCACCACTTGACAGCTTGGTTTTCGCCAAACGTGGCACTGTACATTCTGGCCAAACATCTACACTTTGGTCTCGACTGTCCAAAGGACATTGTTCCAGAAGTCTTGTGGTTTGTTCAGATGCAACTTTGCAAACCTAAGCCGTGCTGCCATGTTCTTTTTAGTGAAAAGAGGCTTTCTCCTGGTAACCCTTCCAAACAAGACACACTTGTTCAGTATTTTTCATTATACTGTCATGAACTTTAACATTTAACATGTTAACTGAGGCCTGTAGAGTCTGAGATGTATTTCTTGGGTGTTTTGCGACTTCTTTGAACAGTGCACAGTCTAACCTTGGGGTGAATTTGCTGGGACGTCCAATCCTGGAAAGTTTTGCAACTGCCGTGAATGTTTTCCACTTGTGAATAATCTTTCTCACTGTAGAATGATGGACTTCAAATTGTTTGAAAATGGCATTTTAACCCTTTCCAGATCGATGGATAGTATTAGCAACAATGGCTTTTCTTAGATCATTGCTGATGATTGTCTTTCCTCCTTGGCATTGTGTTAACACTTGCTCTAGACCAGCAAACTGCCAAAACTTCTGCTTTTACAGTAGGGATGCGCGGTATACCGGTACTGCAAAAATACCGGTATATATTATATTTCAAACGGTACAATATCATAATTTTGTTCAATTCGGTATTTGATGCGCTGCTGTTTCGAAGTTTACCGCTAGGCGGCAGGGCTAAACTGACGCGGGTCACGCGAAACCGGCAAACGGTGACAACAGAGGAACACGATCATGGATCAAACGAAGCTCATTCGAATTTCTCCATTTCTACACGCCCGAAATTAATAAATAGAGAGAGCAGTATGAGTGAAATAAGACATTACTTTGCCAACAAAAGTAATGAGAAAAGTAAAAAAACAGATCTCAATTCACCACTCTGCAAACGGGGAGGCAACACATCAAATCTGCCTATAGCACAAGAGTTCAGAGATCGACAGGTTAGTCCATCATTAAACTGATTTAATTTAGACTTTTATTGAACATTGAACAGCGCACATACATAAGAGCTTATCATATATGATACGGTAAACACGAAGGCTCAAATCTTCTTGCATGACACGCTAGAAACAATTAAGTTTAGTCTCATCATTTTTGCACTTTCAAACAAACATATATTAATTGAATTTGAATGAATAAAGAATAAAAATGTGAATAATAATAATTTTAGTATTAGTGATAGTAAAATGAATGGCATATTAGTACCGCTGTGGTGACCCCTAGAGCAATAAGCCGAGAGCTACATTATAAGCTACATTTGTCAACATTCATTAGGTAACCTGACCTAACAGTAATATAGCATTTATTAATCTATATCAATCAGTAATTAAAATGACCTAGAAAATTAAATTTACTAATACATGTTTTTAGCATGTTAACATTACTTTATGCAATGCATTAAACTAATATGAACCCAAACAGTAACCACCAAACCAAGATGAATAAATGCAATAAATGTTGATAAATCTCTGTTGATGCATGACAGCTAATGGTTTACATGTCATTTCATTATTCTATTATTACTATTATATGTGAATCTATTATTATAGATATTAACCTATTTTAATTGTATAATTTCAGTTTTTTTTTTTTTTTTTTTTTTAAATCAAAATTTAACCTACTGTACACTCACCGGACACTTTATTAGGTACACCTGTCCAACTGCTCGTTAACACTTAATTTCTAAGCAGCCAATCACATGGCGGCATCTCAGTGCATTTAGGCATGTAGACATGGTCAAGACAATCTCCTGCAGTT